CGTGGGACACCCCTGATACAAATGCCGGCTGACCGAAGGGAATTCTGCGAGTTCAAATTCACAGCAACAGACCGGGAGCGATATGGCGATAATTTGAACGATGATTCTGTTGAAAAATGTGTAGCCTCGTCCATACTGCCTTTAAGGGACGAACAATTCCTGCTCTGCATGCGGACTTTGATAAGCGCAGCCAAACATGCCACCACGTCATCTGAAACTATGACGAGCCTCTATCGACAGGTGTTATGGCTAATGAGATGTAACCCTAACGGCTACGATCTTCTAGGCCCCTGGTTCCTTTAGGTGATGCGAGAAGACGGTGGGAAAGCCAGATTGGTAGAAATAGTGCATTCTGCAGAAGGACAGAAGAATATATGAAAAGAGTTTTGGCTCTCGGATGACGGCAATCCGGCTGCCGGGGCGTCAATTTCGGAGTGACGACAGCGTCGGGAATAGCCGTATGGCCGGCGCATGCTTTGTTGCAGTAGTCAATGACGCGACATATCGATAGTCTAGAGGTAGGACGTGAGCTTTGGATTGGCGAATGCTGAACTGCACGCACGGGCCTTGCAGGCCAAAGGCGTCACACGTCAGCGGCTGATTTCGGGTTCCAAGTGCCTGCTAAAGTCGACTTTACCTCTCCGCATGGCTGTATACCAAACATTTATCGGCTACTAGCTATTTTTAAGCAGAATTAATGTTTCCTCAAGGACACCTTAAACCACACTTAGGCGAATAACTTCGCGTTGTCTTCTTGCCTCTATGTGAACTCCAAAAATTCCGTCGCCCATCTGTTCTTCCGCATCTTCGTCATTGTAGCGTCTATCCTCATATCGAACCGCAACCGACCGCTGGGGACCGTGGCGGGTTCTTCCGTTTTCGCCCCCTTGTCGGCAGACCCGGCACACAGCAAGGGCTTATCATGGGCGTATCTCCAGCTCTTCGGCAGGTTCTCGTTACTCTGCGGTGTCTTCGTGTTAAAAATACTTAAGACGATGTCTCCCTGGCTTGCCAAAATACTAGCAAATGTATGTAAAGTAGTCCACCTCCAGAAATTTGTCCTACGAAAACGGCGATTATTGGGGTTTTGGGGTTGGGGAACTAGGATGGGCCGTGACGGAAATTTGTAGAGGTAGGCGTAAAGCGGGAAAATGCAGTTGAAATTGTTTCCCGCGGCCACTGAGAGTAAGCTTTTCCGCATGTAAATTAAAGGTGGGTGTGGCGCTCCGCGCCACAGACTTTGCTAATCTAACTCCAAAACGGTAATTTGGACCTCAGATAAGTTTACGTAAACGACCTCTTAACCACCCTTTCAGTTTTTTTAGAAAATTCAAGAAAGCTGCATCTTTCCCAATAGAGTATATTTCACTGCCTATCCCCTTTCCCGAACACCAAAACCCCTATAACCGCCGGTTCCATGGGACGAATGGCTGCGACTAGGGGTATATCAGGTGCATTACTTAATCTAATGCTGCCAACATCCTTGGATGGCATGAATTAGCCCACCCACTGAAGTGGATCCGCCAAGACAAGGGGCGACTGAAATGGCCATTTCCGGCTAGATAGCCATCACCAGCCAGCCATATCCACTTTCAAGAGTCGAAAACCCCGGGATTCGAACTGGAGACTGTTGGTCCCTTAATTTACCACTCTACCGTTGCATCGCGGCTCGTTTATTTCTCGGTTGAAATCAGGAATATGATTAATATCTGGACATTTTCGATCTGTTTATGAAAAATTACATTCCGTGTTTGCCCTGAGGCTCATAGCGGAGCACGGGAAGGCAGTCTTAGTCTCTAAATGAGACTCGTGTTTCCTCCATTGAACGAAAGAAGAAAAAATACATTCGAGAAAAGAAGTGGATGGCAATTACCAAACGATCTTATGCAAACCAGAATTACCCACCAAAGGTCGTGGATCGATCTCAACTGAAAACCGCGTGATTTTTATGGAAACAAGATGCAACCTCGCCGATTCAAGATATCTACACTTTCTTGCAAATTCGGAATCCAGAATACAAGCAGGAAATCTCACAGACAATGAGCGGTTCACAATTCAGAATAACACTGTGCATGCCCCAAAGAACCGAACTCCTTATTTAGTAAAACCACAAGAATAAAAGAAAGCACTAAAATCTCTCAAAGCGGACAAAGGTACCTTCATTCTTCCTGCAGATATAGGAGGCTCAACCGCCATCTTGAAGAAAATAGACTACGATGCAAAGATGTCAACATTGCATAAGACAATTCAATCTACAAACCTCTTAAAGCGGACCCAATCAAAACACAGAATTCAGCTATGTAGCGTCCACAGGAAAGACCAAAATGCCTAAATAATCCGGAATTAATTTAATGCATTCTGTGTGCTGTTTGTCCTATTGTTTACATAGGCCATACAGATATGAAACTCGGGACCAACATAAATACAAATAGGCTGGCCATCGAACAACGTGGTCCATTGTCTCTCTTGTTTACGCACGCTATTGATTATGATGACGGCCTCAATTGGGACGTACCTGAAGTAATCGCCACAGATAACACAAAACAGGTGCCAGAATGAATCGAAGCTTAGCACTCCGGGTCGAACAGCATCAATAGGCATGATTATCTCTATTCATATTACGTCGGTTTTCGCGTATGATTTACTTGCGCCCGACGTGAAACAACAACAGTATACTCGTTCTCTGCAAAGAAGAGCTTCATTGATTCTGCTTCCCCCCGGAAGGGTGGACCGCAATCTAAACATTCATAACTCCTCTCACTTGGAACTGGGATGTTCATCTGATCTATCTGATTAGCGCATATACTTGTCGCATTGTACTTTGAGGCTCGTACTTGAGTGATATCAGGCAGTTGCCTAGTGACCTCAGACCTATGACGAAGTGGATCCGACACTCCAAAAGGAGACTGGAATGGCCACTTCCGGCTTGTCTGCCGCCACCAGCCAGTCGTACCAAGTTGAAGGGTTGGAAGCCCGAGAATCGAACTCGGGCATTTTTTCACCACAGGCCCGTTGCTTTGTTGGTTGTGATGGTGAATATGATGAAAGCGGGGTGTTAATCCAATCTATCTGATAAGGGCATATACTTGCCCGGTTGTGTCATGAGCCTCATACTTCAGTGATATAAATATCCACTCCACCTATATGTATGCTTGTTATGTCAAAAAACTTAATAGTTTTGCAAAATACAATTTTTTAAACAGAATTCGTTCTTCTTTTTCTGAAAATAATGCTTTATCTCATAATTGAGTTTAGCTCAATTTTATGAACGCAAAAAAAATTGTCCATTCTCTGAACATATATTATTAAAAGTTTCTGGCTCTTACTAATGATATTTTATAATACAACACGCACAAACACGAAGTTCTTTTCTGCGACACTGAATACCGTAGGAGGTTCTTTTTATATCAACAAACTTTTGATTTGCCGCCATGTGTTCCAAGTATATTGACCTGAACAGACGCCCTGTCTAGTTAAAAGAATTTTGCGCTTACACAGAACTAAATGGGAAAAATAAGCAACCTCACATGTGTGTCAAATCCCCCCAATCAAATGTTGCTCGTCATATTTCAGTAGATATACCATATTCCGTTCTGCTGCATACTAGGAGGGTTTCGGCTCCTGAGTGGAAACTACAACATCGCTGTATCATGCAGCAGCTGAAACATCGGGAAAGAGGTGTCTGAGCTTTTACCTGGTAGCTATGTGGAAGAACGGTAAAACGTCATTATCATCTATAAGTTACACCACTTGAAGAGCTCATTGCTTGTAGAATGGGCACTCTGTGGTTATTCAACGGAAGTTGATTCAAACTTTACTCGAAATATAGGGTTTGGTTCTTAAAAATGATGCCCTGATCACCTAATTCCACGTCATGCATTTAGTAATTTCCACAATTATCATTTGATATATGTTTATATACGTATATCTCGATGAACAAGAAACGATATTCGGTAAGAGTCACTTCCATCGAGTTTGATTTTCAACCTTAGAAATATGCAATCTCATTCGGCCTTGAAGAAGCGCAAGTAGGCGAAGGAAAACGAAACAGCATACAAATAAAACCTATCACGGGATGCAATCAAAGTGCCAATGACCTTGAACTGCAGCCTGCGCTACACAAAGGAGAGTTCGTATTCGACGTCTTTCCGTTCATATGATGCTAAATCCACCAACCAAATCCCCAGTGCTGCATTGATAATTTAATTCCAGAATATATGTGGGCGTGGGCTTTTTCCCGTGACAAACATACTGAAAAATGGTGTCTATAAGGTGGCATATGTTTGCTCACCACAAGGTTCATCATAGTCAAACTCGCTTCAACATGCCAAAGAGCAAAACATTAACACTCGTCATAATCGCAATATGCCTCCTTTTCTGCCTGCTGAAAATATTTATGCTAAGGAATACCAAGGTGAACAAGCGTGTCCTGACCGGTGTCAATCTTAAGATGTTTTGTGCAAACCTGTAGAGGCGTTCTCACTACAATTATATAAAACATCTTAGCAAAAACGCAACTGAAAACTTTCTAGTGTAGGCTTACCCCTAGTGAGTAATTTACCAGGCTATCCTAGCGGAAAAAGCGTAAAAACGTATATGAGAATAATAATGAAGGTTAGGAAATGATACAACTCACTTAGATCCTTCACGATCCTTGTTAGCAATAGCCAAGAAATCGACTTGCCAAAGGATGACTTCGTAAAGACCGGGATCCAAGTTCGTTGGGTCGCAGTCATGAGATTTGAGAGAAATCTCGTTTGTGAATTGCTGTTGGATTCTCCTGAGCCCGGGAATGATCACCAGAGAAAGTTGTTGTTGAAGAGCGAAAGAAACAAAGGCAGGTGAGGAGAGAAATTGAGCTGTGGATAGTTGTTAGCAAGAGAGTAGCTAGCGAAGAGCACGCGGTCGGAAACGGACGTGCTGTATTTTCGTTAAAACAAAATTTTTGGAAAAGTGATAAATTTAAACA